GGATTATTATCTTTGGGTCTTTTGGGGCCTGAGGGCTTAATGGAACATGCCGGGACGAGGCTGAAAACCATGTGCCTGGCATATGTTAAGTTGAATTTTGCAGATATCCCTGCACCCCAGTGCTCCAAAATCATATCTCATCTTCAGGCGTGGTGTTCAAGTATGAGGTGAACAAGGAGGTGATGATGTCCATCCACAGTGCCCTCCCACACGTGTTGCCACAAGGGATCCCGCCCCTTAGACACTTTGAGGTTTCTTGGCTCTAAATTGGTATCGCTTTGCGTCGAAGCATGAAAATGACCCACTCTCAGCGTGAAATCTCGGACCCCTTGTCAGCAGCGTTTTGATATGACACGCCAAGAGCGCCTTTGTCTACAGCACTGCACAGTGAACAACTTCCATGTGGAGCTGCGCCTGTTGTGATTAATTGATTGCGTGAAGGGGACTGGTGCCACTTTAAGTGACCTTGGTGGAAGCAAAGCCAACCGAATTTGTTGGCATCCGGTATGCGATGTCTTTGTGGGGTTCTGCTCCTCGTGAGATTCATTACACGCTAGATTTTCTTGTCGTTGGTCTTGGGATATCATTAATTGGTTGCTCAGGTTCCAACCTACTTGCAATCCAACACTCTTTGGGCGCTAGCTGCGCTAGCAGGGATCTGTACTCATCTGGGGGTCTCGTTGTGTTAAATCATGTTAAATCACACCTGTGGACAGTCAAACGTCATGGCACAGGATCGGAGCATGGCTGCCTAAATGCAGTTGGCTGAAGCGGTGTTGCAAGAGATCTGTCAGGCTCAGATCGATGAGCCAAAGCACAAACAGTTGCCCTAGGCCTCCAAGTACCTCCTCAAATTTATATTAAATTTGGATTCTTGAAGCCCATCCCTGGCCCAAGCACATAGAGATCCAGGTCTGGAGGGCGCTTGGAGTTCTGTATGCAATGTGGCAGCACATTTTCAGGAACCTTGACCCACTAATCAATGTTAGGAGTTCGGACCAGATCATCAGCCACCGTTTTGCTGCCGGCTGGCAGACCAGTGGGGTGGAAGAGCCTGGGCTACAATCTTGGCACACGGGGTTTCCTGGCTTCCAACTTTGTATAGTGGGCTACAAGTACCTCCTCCTAAGGTATATGGATCTTCTAAAAACACCTTCTACGGGTTTTGTGAACCAACTGCAGTCAGTTGTACTGACACGACCACGAAATCATTGTGCAAACCCTACACTGGCCTTATGTGCCAGCAGCAACTTGGAGAACTTCGACGCCTACTCATGCCGACTGAACTGAAGCGCCGTGTGGCAGTGAAGCACGTCTCGAGCGGCTTGAGCGGGGGCAGCTTGAGGGTGGCAGGCAGTACATGGAACATCCTTGTGGTTCAAAGGGCGCAATTCATGATATTTAAGGAACATGTGCGTTAAAAGTTTGTTTCTCTGAGAGTGGGCTTGGACCTCAGTCCTGCTCAGGCACGCCTCGATCCCCAAACACCTTCTAAGAAGGTATCCGGGAGCCCTTGGGATATATGTATATACTATGAATATATATAATATATATACATATTTAGATGTATTTTTATAAAACTATATGTTATATGTATATACGTCTATTTACACAATTTTACACACACACGGAAGATATCTTCACACAGCACATACATTGACACATATCAAAATTTTGCTTGCCCAATCAACCACGGGATGACACTCTCAAAGACCCCGGCCCCCTCCCACAAAAAATGGTGTCAGGTGTTGGCACTCCGCTTCATTTTATTCAATGTAAGACACCATGCCAGCAAAAGAACTCCTCACCTGCCTTGGTGGCCAAGTAGGGGCCTTCATGACGAGGACTCGAGTGGCACCCGAGAGTTGGCAAAGTGTTCTTCATGGCACTGGGTGAAGCAAACTCCGCAGGAAAGCTGGAAACCACATTCTGCAAATTGTACTGTGAATTAGTTTGTCAAACAAAACTATATTAAAAAAATATAGTAATATTATGAAGTTCTTTTACTTGACAAAATAGTACTAGTAAAAAGCATAAAATAGTACTTTTACTGTAACAAAATTGTTTTGTGAATTCCATTAGTACTCCAGATAAAGTCTAAGTCTCGCCGTACATCATCCGCACAAAGAAGCGAGCGAAGGTCCCAAGAACCCACGACAACTGTTGCATCCCGTTGCATCCCAATCGCGATGAGGTCAAAAGGCATGCACAGACTTACACACTCTCTGTGAGGCGGGGTTCAGTTAATATATATGACGTTTGTTTGTTGTGTCCGTGTTTTTGGAATGTCCCATAAGGTTTCATGAACTTGCTGACTCAACCACTCATGAAATTTGTTTTTCAAGAGGTTCCGCCACTTCCGCCGAGGTCTTCAACTACATGACCTTGCCCGATGCCGTCCCTCGGATTTGCGAAGTGACCGGCAAAAATCCTTGGAGGACCGGTGGATCTGATGCTGGGTATATAAGTTTTTTAATACAATATATCATATATTATATATGTTTGTTCTTGAACAAATTGGAGCAGTGAGGGATTTGGTAGTGAATGTGTTTTTCAATGGTGGGGGTGGGACCCCGCCCAGTGGGACATCCGGTCTCATTAGCGCAGGGAGTTGTTGGTTTTCAAGATGCGTTCCCTTAAAGATCTTAAAGGAAGAACGAGTCGGTGTCGGCGTGACGTGTGAAGAACTGGGTCAGTCCAATGTTGAAGGGTTTGGACATCTCCCCACTTCGCACCACCCACCGTGTCCGTCGTTTGTTTCCGCCTGAGGTGAATGCGGTCAAACGCTCCGTGAGCTTAAAGCCTCGCTTCCTGTTGACCCACGCAGGGACACCCGGTTCCCACGACGGACCGCGACCCCGGAGGGCTCGGAGATGACGAGTCCGAGGAGGATCAAACGGGCTTCGTCGGGTAGTGGTTGTTGTCCACATCAGCATGATGAGTTCAAGGGGTGTACTCCACTTCTTTTCTTTACAGGTGTTTGTCTTTGGGTACCTGTGTTTGTCTTTATCAGTGGCAGTGGGCGCTTGAAGTAGAAGCAGTGCAGTAGGTACACGAGTCCTTCTTCCCCTGTTTTGGCATGTCTGAAACATCAAAGCTCAGACAGGCGAATGATGATGAGCATTTTGTGTGTTGTAAAGCTTTGCAAAGCATTGGATACCATGGTGGGGCCATGCTCCAAAAGGCTACGGTTCGCACTAACTGGACATCATTCCTGCAAGTTGCAAGGAAGAGTACCGCAAGTTGGGACAGGCAAAAGTGGGATGGCACCCAACCGAGAGCGAGACACCAATCCCATGTTCACGAGCATGTTTTGGGCGTTTGCGCATCGCATGGCCGTGTTTTCTCTGGCAAATCTCCACTTTCCGCTGGTGAAGTTCCATCAGTTCTATAAGGGTAAACCCAGTATCCACCGTTCTTCTCCGAGTCCGGAGACCTCCCAACCCCACCATCGCCTCGGCTCGTGCGGACCGCCTCGACCGCACAGATGACGTTCGTCGCTCGCCACCGCTCCGCGCCGCCCTCGGCTCGATCGGCAGTGGAAGCCCCTCACCGATCGGCGAGCGATACGCGTAGAAGCGAAGTCTTCAGTCATGGCTCTTCGCCGCTTCAACGCAGGTGGAGTGGAGACTTGGGGTGCAGAGGTTCAGACGTGGTAGAAGCAACACATCCATTTCAACTTGATGCCGCTTGCAGCTGTAGGGGGGTCTCTCAAAACAGGCCCCCGCAAATGTTGAGACGGACTTGTCCTGAGTGCAAATCTGGTGGAGAACCTCCAAACAAGGCCCCTGATCCTGAAACAGGGGCTCGAGTCTCCAGTTTGTTCAAAAACAATCAAAAACAGCATGAGCCCCCCTAAGTATGTTGCACAGGTTCAAGGGTCTGTATATGTGTGTGTATACGACACTCCAAGTAAGCTTACTCTACTGTTCTTTTCTTGCAGGGTTCATTGCCCATCCCATTTCCTCAGCTGTCGCCAAAGACGCTTTGAATGGATCTCGTTCTCCAGGGCTCTTGCATTGTTTATTTGTTCTATATATAATATATGAATGTGTGTTTTTTTCCATAGATGATCCTGATTTAGGTGTAGTCTTATTATTTTTGGTAACTTGCTGTGACTTATAGTATATTTTATTTGTGTGCTTTGCTCACAAGTGCTGCCAGGTGGGAAGAAGCAGAAGGAGCTCACGGATGAGCAGAAGCAGGAGATCAAGGAGGCCATGGAGCGCCGTGTCAACAGCTTCAGGGTACCAAATCGAAGACGCAGATTGAGAGTAGATGGCACAGACCCCAAGTTAGGTGGTTTATATGGACCCCCATCTAAAGGACATCATGGGGTCTGTGCCATCTGTTCTGAAACCACCGTAATTGTTCGTTGGACACTGGATTTCTTGGATTGTTGTTCCCAAAGTTCAATCGAATCTGACTGGTGCGGACTCCTACGGAACATGTAGTATTTGATTCCACAGGTGAAAACCATGAGCCTCCACGCTTTCCACATGTCCCACATGCCCCTCCACCATTATGCCACCATGTACCAGCCTGGCCTGGACGTCTCCGAAACCGTCCGGACGAACCCGCGCGGCCGCGGAGCGCCTGGTCCACGAGGCCTTTGATTTGTTCGACACCGATGGCAGTGGTGAAATCGACTCGAAGGAGCTCAAGGTTGGCCAGTGGGTTGCTGGGTGGGAGGGGGATCGAATCAGCTGGATTCCTAGGGTTCTACATACTTTATATAGGGTTCACATGGACACTCCGGGGGTTCAGGTGTTTGGCATGGGTTTGGGATGGTTTGGACCTATAAGCACCTCTTCTCACCAGGAAGTCGGAACGGGAATGGATCAATCGATGGGATACACCAAATCACCTATACCAGCACCTTCATGTCGGGGTCACCTGGCTGGTTTCGCCCCAGCCCACCACGATCAGGGACCGGACACCGACCGGTCCACCGGTCTGGTGACTGCCATGTCAGACGTGCTTCGTTTGGGCAGGTCGCCATGCGTGCCTTGGGTTTCGAGCCCAAGAAGGAGGAGCACGAGCGGCATGAGTTGGATTGAAACTTCAGTCCTTAGATGTTGATGTTGATGTTTGGGGTGTTGGAGGGTGTTGGAGTGGGTTGAATTTTGTGTTGAGACAAAAGAAAAGGACGATAGCAGAAGACTGTTTTCCGGCCTGTAGGAGATTCAGAAGATGATCTCGGACGTGGACGCATCTTGGCAGCGGGGAAGCGGGCCATTTGACTCCAGCTTAAGGTTTGCTCAAGTGTTCTTAATGGTGGTGAAGGACCAACTCCCCCAAAGTTTTAGTCCACAGGAAAACAAGCTCAAGTTTGTAGAGTAAAATGGTCTTCGAAGCACTGGGTGATCGGGATGGGAAGATCAGAGTGGTAACCATTTACTTTGCTTTTGTATACATGACATGCTCACCGCCTGTAGGGTACTCAGTGGCTCACTCGGTATGGAAGCCCCGAGGACGATGGCTCTGGCACCATCGGCTATGAGGCGGGTGGCCTTCTCTTGGGAGTGGGTACCGAGGGCAGGGGTGGGCGGTACCCAGGGCCCACGAGGAGCTTCCTACAATTGATCAACGAATCAAGCAGCACAGAATGGGAAAGCAACAATATGGCACAGGAAAAGACACTATGCAGGTATATGCAGGTTCAAATGCACAGACATCACCATCCAACCCTTAACTTGGAAGTGGTATGAGGATTTCATGGTCATCCTTCTGGAGCCATGCCATCCAAGTAACCATGAATGATTTCAGTGAGTGTACCATGATGTTCAACTGGCGGAATCCGCAGGCGCCTCCATCCGCAGGGGGTTTCCCCCAGACTCATGCCGGACCTGCCAGGAGTTCTTGAAGATGATGACACACAAGATCTTGAACCGTGACCCCAAGGATGAAATCCTCAAGGTTTGCAGGGGCGGCCGGCGAGCGTTACACGTTACTGTGCACCGGAATTGGTAGGGCGGGATTGGGGAAGGAACGCACGGACGAGTTTTGTAGCCTGAAAGAGCATGAAAGGCTGAAAGTGGCTCTGAAGGTAACCTTTAACATCCTTCAACATGACTTGTTTCAGCTTTTTCCTTTTCCATCCTCGAAGACATCGCCCGACCGCACGGTCGCACGTGTTCATCGAGGGCTTGGAGGTCGCCGAACACCGGCGCCGCCGAACACGCGCCGCGAAGCCGTGAGGCCTTCCGCCTCTTCGATGACGATGAGACCGGGAAGATCTCCTTTAAGAACCTCAAGCGCGTGGCCAAGGCGCGGTCCTCCTAATCCATGAAGGGCAATGGCTGCACATGGCTGGCCAAGGACCTGAAGATGAGCTGAGCCCTGTGAAACAGGAGGAAACAGGTGTTGTTTGGTGGAGACCCCGGAATTGAGTTTTTGTTGTATGCACTTGGCTAGCAGAAATGGCAAATGCACACCATGAACATGGCTCAAACTGAGGTCATGAACTCTTCGGTGGGTTGGTTAGTTCATCGAGTCATCAAGTTCCATCGAGTCATCAAGTTCCAAAGAATAGTGCGGCCTTGACATGAAGCTTTGCTCGGGGTTGGTGACGGTGTTTGCTTTCCTCTGCCGGCCCCTCCAGTTTGGTCAATTGATTTGTCGTTTCATTGTCATGTTGACCAGGACTGGCTGACTGAGCAGACAAGCATGGTTGACTGGCATATATCTTGGGGGATTGACTGAGCATACACCAGCAGCTTCACTGCCCAGTCGAACAGCAGCCCAGCATACACCGCCTGTTGGATCCCTCAGGAGTTGGGCGAGCGCATGACCGACGAGGAGAGGAGAAGGGATGAGGTCGGAAGGATGGGACGAGGTGAGGAGGGGATGGTGAGAGGGATCACATTCAATTTGTTGATGCCTTTGTAAGTGTGTTGCCAGTCGTGTTGCCATGTTGCCATCCGAACATCTCCGAAGCTTTGACAAGGGTGAGAGGGTCACAGCTGTACAAAGCCGGAACTTCCAGCCAAGGAGTGTTTTTTTAAGCCTAGAAGGCGTTATGCGGATTTAGAGATTCCATCACCCAGACACTCTGTGTCTCCAGTCGTTACCTCCTCGGTATTTGGACCCCCCAAACCCACCCCAACACCTTCTTAGAAGGTACATGGAGCCTTAGGGTACGGGTATGGCTATTTAATGCTACTTACATAATGATACATTGACCCCTGAAACCACCCCAATCTATGTACCTATGCCAGTCCCATGGATTGTTTGGGTAAGGGAACAAGGACAACCCAAGCCAACAACGACTGTTGATCTGCCCAATGCAAGTTTGTTGTGTCATATCTACTTTCATTGGTTTAAATATTACACACTTGTGGTTGTTGTGTCATATTTGGATTAACACCAGGGACCAACACCAGTTTGTTGTGTCATATTTCTTTGAGCTGCCCAAGTTTGGTCCCTGGTCTTTGAGTTTGGTCGACTCTCACCCCGTGACCTCTCATGAGAGCTGCGGAGGAGTGGTCCCTCTTCTCTCTCATGCGCTCATGAGTCCGTTACATGGGCCTTGAGCATCCTTCACCATCCAAAGAACTGTTCTGTCTCTTTTCTGCAGCTTCACCCGCTTTTTACCCCCAGTGCATGGCACCCATCTCGTCTAGTTCCGCGACCCCTCTACACCCTGCTGCGCGGCTCGCGCTGCGCCACGGCGCCGTCGCCCGGAGGAGCTGCAAGAGATGATCGACGAGGCGGACCGCGACGGCGATGGTGAGGTCAACGAGGCCCCGGGAGGGGCGGGGAGGGGAGGCGTGTGGGGAAGGTGGTGAAGGTGGTGGACCTTGGTGAACGGGGTGATGACGTGACCTTGGGAGCCGAAGATGGATGAAAGCATATGAAACCTGAGTTTATTCCACATGAGTAAACACAAGAAACACATTGCCAAACAACTTAGAGATGAAATGTGGAAGGGAAGTGTTTAAAGATTGTAATATACTGTAATATTATACTGTAATTAAGGACAAACAAGGGCTAAAGTGTAAGAAGTCAACTGCAAAGCCAGAAACTTTGTCACAGGTGACAGACATATTGATCAGTTGGGGATGTGATTGGAGAAAGTTGTTTCAATTTGGCGTGGAGTCATCCACAACCGCCAGCTGATCGACGCATGCGGACAGATCCCCACTTTCGCGATCAAACTCGCAATCAGTGGGAGTTTGAACTGCCCAATCCCATGTGACCATTACCATCCATGACCTACAGTAGAACTGGTTGTGCTTTTCACGGTCCACACCCGGAGGATGCTCATTCCCTTCCCAGGTGGGTGGCCAGCCCGCCAGCCCGCCTGTCCGCCTGTCGTCCGATGCATGAGGAAGGCGTTGAGTAGACACGAACAGTAGACCATACCATACCGGCCCTCGACGACCCGATGACCATCGATGACCCCAACATGTGGTCATTTGCCTACTGGGCTTTATGTGTATATCGGTATTCAATGTTTGTAGGTTTACGTTTACCTGTTGTTTGTATGCTTGCGTCTTTGAAACAGTCGTACTTGTCTGGCATTATGGATCCGTGCCTCAGGAGGAGTTCCTGCGCATCATGAAGAAGACGCCTCTTGGAGACCAAGATGGTCAGACCAGCCATGTGGGTTGAGTCGGTGAAGAATGGTTGTGGGGTCAAAGCCACCAGCAGACCGATCAAGGTAAGGCTGGCCATGATGCGCACACTGCAGAAACGCTCCTCAAAAACGACACAACTCATCCCCAGCACTGCTCAAGTGAATATCTAACCTGGACGTGGCTTTGTCTCACATCCAGTCTTCAAGCGTGGCTCCCTCTTGTCCCCAACAGAATCCGCTATAGTCTAGCTGGTTAGGATACTCGGCTCTCACCCGAGCGACCCGGATTCGAGTCCCGGTGGAGGAATTTATTAAATGTGCCGATCTGTCTGGTAAACTGCGCAAAGCATTTCTGCACGTAGGCTGCTTAAAATTCTTCATCCTGGTCACGGCTTCCTCCATAAGATGCCATGCAGCGCAAAGGCCAACTCTTCCATACCAACGTGTCGGTCAAAGACGCGGCAAAGGGTGTTGGACTGTTTTTTTGGTGGCCTTGCAATAAAGCTGACACCAGCAGCAAACTATATATACATTGTTTGTGCATCATGGAATGAACAGAAACTTTAAACATTGTAAATGCACGGAAACTAACTAACTGAGCATTCTTGCAGGCAATAAACACCATTACACCATTACACCATCAATGTGGCTTCTGCTTATCTTGTCAAGCTTGATGTTGTTCCTTTGCATTCTTGGTTTGGTGAGCGTGTTTCCTTTCATTATTTTTTTTTGTGTGTGTGTGGTTTGTTTGTTTATCGTTCATTGGCGCCCCACCATTGATGGGGCAAATATGCAAAACCATCGCCGGGCATATGCGCCATCTATTATTTCGATTTCACTCAATTCAACACTCAGGATTCCATGATCGACAGATTGCCAGGTCTATAGAGGGATATTGCTGGGGGTTCAATGGGTCATGGGCTTATATCATGTGGATCATGGACGTCTCAATTTGACTCAAGAAAACTCTTCTGACGCCAATGCCAAGGAACCTCTTCTGAGAGGGTCACAGCTACAATTCGCCAATGCCATTCTGGCCGCTCGGAGCCTTTTCTGGCCTCTCAGAGCCTTGAATGTGTTTTGCTGACTTTGCAGGAACATGTCAAAGGTCATATCAAGACCGGGTTGTTCAATATATGATTTGGAGATGTCACTCTCGACTAGGTTGTAGACTACTGGGTTGTTCAAGACTGGGCTGTAAACTCCATTCCTGGGAGATGTCACTCTCGACAGATCTTTTAGACCATCGGAGCTTCAGACCGGTTTCTCAACGAAGCAACGTGCAGTCTTCCTTGGAATCAACTACACTGACAAACACATCACACATGGTCCCATGGTTACGTGGATGGCATGGTCCCTTGGAAGTGGATGACACTTCCGCTGCAAAACAGGGGAGCTATTTGACTGGACCTGGAGTGACGTGTTCGTCGGAGTGTTGGTCGACTATAGACCTGGAGGGTTTTGCACCTTGAGGTCCACTTGGAGGTCAGTTGGAGGGGGTCCAAAGTTTCCCTGCCATGTTGTTGTAGTTGTTGTTTTTGTCGTTGTCGTTGTCGTCGTTGTCGTTGTCGTGGTGGTCGTTGTTGTTGTTGTGGTGGTGGTTGTCGCTGTGTTTGTTTTCTTGACAGGAAGAGAAGTCGCAAAGTCAAGTTGTCAAGAGGTGGATTCCGATGTGTCCATGGGTGAACAACTTAATACATGTTTCTTGAGTCTTTATCATGGACAGTGCAGACTATGGACTGTTGCAAACTACGCACATACTGTTTCATTGTTTTTTTGGTAGTCGGTTCGCCTTCCTTTGGGGATGGATTTCCTATGATGTCCTGCTCTCGATGTCAAGAAGCAAAATAAGCTGAGCCTCAATGTTGAAGCAGGGTTCAGCCATTTGAGGGCCAATTGATAAAACAAAAAGACAACAATTTGCATATTGCACCTTGGAACATGGTGATCTCAGTTCTTCAGCCAACACCTTTCACTGAAGAGACATTCAGAGCAAATGCACGTGGATGTTTGCCGAGTCCTACTACTAACAGCAGAGAAGTAGCACTTCCTTTGACTGCAAGGTCAATGTTGTCAAAGTTCCACACAACCAAAATCAAACCATGAAGACTCACCAGCCCCATCCACTGTTAGTGGTTCTTACGCAGAAAAAACACATCACATATCCACCCGAAAACCACATGTTAAACACATGTATAAATCGTGTTTTCTCTAAAGCTCATCTACATCAACTGCATCGGCTTCGGCATCCATAGGCTCCGTGGCCCAAATCGGGCTGCCTGTGACCTGACTCACAGGTGGTCCTGGGACCTGCACACAGCACTTGCCCTGTGCCCGACAGACCGAGCAGTCACGCGGTGTCACTCGCGGATGGAGCCCGACAAAGATGGAGAAAGGTACCTATTGAAAAGAACCATTATATCATATCATATAGTCGTAGTTTTATATATACCCAATGACAAACCTAGTTTAATTTAAAAAAAAGAAATGTGGGATGGATATCAAGGTCGAATGATGTTGAATGGTTTAGATTTGATCAGAGAACCCACTTGACATGAACATCAAGGGCTTCACCACATTTGAGAACCATTGGTCGGAGTGTGGGAAGAAACCACTTGAGGGACCAGGCTTTTTTCAGCTATGGATGATTTGTTGGGGATTCACACACATAGTAGTCTAGAATTTTGATTAACAACCCCCCCATGTACATTGTAAAACCTTCTTCATAGATTCATACGTTGGTTGTTTGGTCGTAACTCAACAGTTCTGCAGTGACGCTTGGGGCGCTTTGTTCCGCCAGCTGCACTGGTTGACTTCGTGGTCGCACACAAGTGCGATCGACTCACCAGGCCCCACCAGGACTCCAGGTATATACCAATATCTCTTAGAGATTGGCCAATAACTGTCTTTGGGGATTTGAGCCAAGAGTTCTGAGGACGGTATAGGTGGTAAACTGTCAGATCGGCACAGATCTGCTATTCAAGGCACATCGGATGAGAGGAAAATTGATGAACTAGTGTGCGGACGCTGGCTGCCAGCAAGCACAAAGGAACTTGCTAGTTTTTGACCTCTTTATGCCTTATGTCTCACCCACAAGCGGGTGATATTGCATTGTGAAGGTAAACTTTGAAGACTCCATGTGCCCTACATGCTATCGACCTGCCATTCTAAAAGTTGCAGATGCTAAGAATGGAAACATGGCTCAGCCATTGCTCAGCCCACGCGTGACTCTCGCCCTGTTCTTCTGTAAGTGCTTTGGTACTTGCGGTGGAACTGGGGTCGGCCTGAAGTTTTCGCAAATGTCACATGCAAGGCTCGTCAGAGCGCAAGAGAAAAGGGTGCTGATGAAGCAGTTGGGTATGTACCCGAGTCCAATGAACCTATCTATCGCATCCCGACATATGTTTGATTATATTATATATAGAATGCCGACAATGGACCACACCAATGTTTTTGGAAAGGGATGCCATCGCCATAGCCGTGGATGTTTGCACTGCAGAAGTAAGTCCTCCGTCGTTGCTAGAGTCCCTCCATCCGCAGTGCTTCGTCGATGCTGGGCCCAACGCGCGTCCAAAATAGGGGCGTCGAGGAGACAAGTCGAAGCCCAGTCTAAGTGGTGTAGCCAGGTGAGTCGGTTGGGAAACATGAGTAGTCATGAGTCAGTCGCCAGAGCCCATCCCAGAGCCTTGGATCTCTTTGGCAACCGCTTGGTTGCTTTGGGTGAAGGGATGTGAAGGGCATAGAGTCATAGAGTCAGTCAGACCGAGTCAGACCCTGCGAAGACCTCCATTGGTGTCGGTGTTCCATCCATTCCCTGAGAGGTGCCTCCATAGTACCAAGTAGTGGTGCTCGACTCAGGCTCCATGGGACCAAGAGGTGTACCTACATTGATTCCTATTCAACCACCCAACAGAGGTTGAAGGACCTGAACTAGCCTATCCCATAGGTACCCCAGGAAGGTCCTAGTTCAGGTCACTTAACCTCTCTTGGACCCCAGTCCCATTGGATGGTTTGGAGATCTTTGGATGTTTGGGATCAAACCATCCATCATCCATTTGGTCGCCCTGCTGCCGCCAGTTCGCATGGCCATCTGCCAGAACTCGGAACTCGCCGAATCGCAGCGTTCGAGTTCCGTGTGATTTCCCCGGTTCGTCGTTCCATCCAACACCTCGTACGCCATGGCACTTCGCCGCTTCAATGCAGGCGTGCCAAACCGAATAGATCGGTGGCATGTGGCGGCCACTCATGGTGTGGCAACTGCGGTATGGAGGGTCAATGACATTGACACGGTTGAGTGGAGAAACTATACATAGAGGTTTGCATGGCTGGCATGAGTGGCGATGGTTCCTTTGCTTGCCTCTAGTTTGTTAGAATGCAGCACCATTTCCTAGACTAAACTTGTAACATTGTACCACACAGGCCTGAAGGGGGAACTTGTTGATTACCGTCGGATTTGTTCTCTCAGGCCAAGCAGTGCTGGTTCGTGCCTTCATGCAGAGTAGGGTGGTAGTGTGATACGAGCTACAAGTAACTTCTTGCGATGGTCCGAAAATCACCGTTGAAGTTCATAGGTCTACGAGTCTACATACCAGTCATATGATAATCATGATATTCCGTTTGATCATGTTGATCAGAGAGTCTGAGAGTGACCCTTACTCCACTGTGATTTTGGCAATTTAGCCACAACTTGGTGAATATGAGAAACACTGCTTGCCTTGCATGTCTAAGTATCACAGATTGAGATGCTCCTATTTGACCAACTGCAGCGCATAGATGGACATTTGATGACATTTGAATGTTTGTGATCGCACAACGGTAGAGGTATGCAGAGGTAGTGTTTGATTGAACATGAGGATAACACCCAACCACTGGGAACGCCATTTTTTGCATTTGAATGAAGCTTTTTTGTGACAGTACAATACTGCAATATACTGCAATCTACATGAATGCTCGCCTTGAATGTTGCACCCCCTAGCTTGGCTTGAGTCAGACCAAGCCTTGCTTCTTCCTGAAATCAGGTGGGAAGAAGCAGAAG